GTGCCTATAATCCCAGTCACTCAAGAGGCTGGGGCTGGATAATCGCTGGAAACCTAGTAGGCAGAGTTTGCAGTGAGCCAAGATCCAGCCTAGGTAACAAGAGAGAAACTCTCTATCTCAGTAACAACAACAACAACAAAAACCAAAAAAACTAAACACACGCACAGATGCTGGTGAGGCTGCAGAGAAAACAATAATGCTTATACACTGTTGGTGGAAATGTAAATTAGTTCAGCCACTGTTGAAAGCAATTTGGAGGTTTCTCAAAGAACTTAAGAAAAAGAACTACCATTCCACCCAGTGATTCCCTTACTGGGTATATACCCAAAGAAAAATAAATTGTTCTACCATAATGACTTATGTACTCATAGGTTCACTGCAGTACTATTCACAACAGTAAAGATGTGGATTCAACCTAGGTGCCCATCAGTGGTGAACTAGATAAAGCAAATGTAGTAAATATGCACCATGGAATGCTACACAGCCATGAAAAAGAATAAAAGAGGGTGAAAGATCCCTAGAAGGAGAACTACAAAACACAGCTTTTTTTGTGTTTTCACAATCAGAGATGACACCAATGGCAACCTAGATGCAGCTGGAGGTTATAATGCTGAGCAAATTAATGCAGGAACAGAAAACCCAACCAATACTGCTTGTTCTCACTTATAAGTGGGAGATTAACATTGAATACACATGGCCATAAAGAAATTATTTTTCTCATCTTTATGAGAACAACAGTTACAGAATTAGAAAAAAACTATTCTAAAATTCATATGAAGCCAAAAAAGAGCCCAAATAGCCAAAACAATCCTAAGCAAAAAGAACAAAGCTGATGACATCATCATACCCAACTTCCAACTATTTTATAAGGCTGCAATAACTAAAACCACATGGTTTCATTGTTTTGAGAATAATAATTACTAGGGACTACTAGAGGGAAGAAGGAGTGAGGGAATGGAAATGGGGTTGAAAAACTACCTATTGGGTAATATGCTGACTACCTTGGTGGCAGAATCAATACCACAAACCTCAGCATCATACAATATACCCATGTAGTAAATCTGCGCATTTATCACCTGAATCAAGTAACAAAAGTCAGAGAATAGAAAGAAATTGAATAACAAAATTTCCAGTTGAAAGAAATGGAATGATAAATTTCCAACTGAGGAAATTCTTAAAAATGTTAAGTTCCAGGCTGCCAGTGGCACTTTGAAGTAAGTATTCAGTCATTTTGATTCTTGTCCCAGCTCTTTCTGCTACATTGGGAGTCAACAAAATTAGACCACATTTCTCAAATGTGAGCCTTGTCTCCAATGTCTCTATTTCCTTCATTTTTGTGTTCATATCCTTCACTTACAGTCACCTTCCATTCTTTAACTTAGGCAAATAAGCTGGAGAGAGGTTGTCATAGTGTATCTGCAATAATGTAAACTAGAAAACCAGATTCATTTCCCCACAAATACTGGTGAAAAATGTAAATTAGAAGGAGCGAGAAAGTGAGGAAAATATATCTTTGTTAAAACTAAACATGCAGAAATGTAGTAGCCTAGTTTACACTCTGGGATATAACTTCAAAATTTCACTTCTGACCGATGTGCCCTTGTTTTGTACAAAAGAAAACATACACACATATTAAGATCCATTCTATGTAAATCAGGGTATTGGCTTTCTTTAGTTTGGCTCTAGGGCTTCTAATAAAAAATAAATACCTCTCAAAAGGTAATATAATTTTTGATAAATGTCAGTCAATTCCTTTCAGGACTTCTGGGGACTTCTAAAAACTGTGAGATTTCTGTGTTCCATAGCTGTAAATATAATGTCCATTCTCGAATTTCTTCTTCATATTTCTAATTGAACTAAGAAAAGATTTTATGGGTATAATATACTACATGTACTTCAAAGTAGAGAAGGTGAGACACATAATTTACACCCAAAGATAGAAAAGCAACAATTAGTTTTGGTGACAGAGGAGAACCCAGAGGGAAAAGTCTATTTCTACAAATAAAAATTAGGACAGTGAAAGAGCTGAAACTGGAAAACAGTGCATCTATGTCTAAATGCAATATCTGAATCTTTCCACAATGTTTCTGAATGGTTTGAAACCTACATTGGCTTTTTACTTTGTTTTGTGCATAGTTCCATCAACTGAGAAAACTTTACAGAATTTACATACTCTGTGTGTGTGTGTGTGTGTGTGTGTGTGTGTGTACACACATTTCCCCTGCCCACCCCAGCAAATGACACACAGTCTGTTCTCCAGAAAAGCATTTTCTCATTGGCTGGTCTGTGAAGAGCAATGATTTTTTGCTTTCCCACTGCATTCTAAATAATAATGAATAAGATTAGTAAACATATAGACTGCCTTTATGTTACCTTGACTGAGTTAACATTATAAAAAGTATCTGGAATATGCATTGTTCAGGGTTAAATAAAACTGCTTTCCAGTTTTAAATACAGAAGCTTTTTTGTAGTCCCAATCCTCATAAGTGCTACTAAAACTATTTTGTCAATGCAGTCCCAAAATATTCAAGAAGTTCAATAGTCCATACTGTCTCAAAGTAAATGACAGGCATCCAAGTGATGGTGTTGCCAAGGCAAGAGGGTTGTATTTGGCTCCTCTATTTGAATGACAATCTAGCTACTGTGAAAACCCGGGAATTTGATTTCTGTTATAATTGGATCAGATCTTTCCAGCAGCTCCTTCAAGGGGATATTAGTTTCATATGGAACCTGCAGTTCTTCCAATTTAAGGCTTTGATTGTACAAACAAATGTTGAAATGCTGATTCGGATCCTGTCATGCTAATGGAATTGGTGACTGGACTTGTATTCAACTGTGTGGAAGACACAAGGGAGTGGGGAAATAACTAAATGGCCCATTTACTGGGAAGGCATGGTGATGATGAAAAGATGGTCCAAGATTAAGATTTGCAGGAGATTTGCTTTTATTATTAAATTAATAGGCAGCCTGTATTATCATAAGATTTGAAGTTGCTACTGAGCTGTGAATGATCAAACTGCAGATTTCTTGAGGAAATGTTTTGCAGTGTTAACAACCTTCTGGAGATATCTATCCCATCATTATTCTTTATCCATCTTGTGGTTAAGGCTGATGCATCTGAAAAGTATGTGGAATCTTCTTTCAAAATGTATTATATTTGATGACTATGCTGCAGCGTATAAGTATCCCATTCAGGATGTATCCAAAATTAGACATGACATTTTGCTTTTAAAAAGAAACACTTTTTAAGTTTCAGAATACTACTAGATTTATGGAAAAGTTTCAAGGGTAGTATAGAGGTTCAGTGTACACTACACTCAGTCTCTCATTTTTAACATCTTACATTGTATGATACACTTGTCACAAATAATGAATCAGTATGAAGGCATAATTATTAACTAAAAGTTGTTCCTCATTCAGATTTTCTTAGATTTTAGTTAATGTCCTTCTCTTCCAGGATACCTTTCTGGATACCACATTATATTTAGTTTTCATGTCTCCTTTGGCTCCTCTTGGCTCTGAAATTTTCTCAGACTTTGCTTATTTTTGATGGCCTGACAGTTTTGAGGAGTACTGGTAAGACATTTTACCGGGAGACTGGTAAGAATGTCCCTCAATTTGTTGATTTTTTTTTTTGGATTCCACTGGGGCTATGAATCTGGGGGAGAAAGACCACAGAAATAAGTTTGACGTACAGTAGTTTGGCGAGGCAGTGCCTGTTAAAATTTTCCATTGTAAAGTCACTTCTTCTTTCCCCCTTTTCCATATTGACCCGTGGAAACAAGTTACTCTATATACAGCTTATGCAGAAAGACTGGAGATGTAGGGAATTATCTTGTACATCTTTGAGTGAAGGCTTAATCTGCATTATTAGAGACATTCAATTTATTTATAATTTTTCTGCAGGCAAGCCTTGCTTATTCTCTTTGTTTGATTATTCTATCACTATAGACTCGTGGATATTTATTTTGTGACCTAATATAATGCTTCTGTCCAAAATTGTGCCAGCTTTAGTCATTAGGAACTCTTTTAGTTGGCTCCTATGTGTATTTGACATACCTCACCTGCATCATTTTGTTTTGTTTTATTCTGTTTCCACTGTTTTCTTACTTTTGGGCACAAAAAGATGAGCCAAGCTCTTTTTCATGTTTCCTGAATATAAAAAAGTCATCCATCGCTTGGGATTTAATTATCAAGATTAAATTGCAGTCAAGATTTCAGTAATGTCCACTTAGATTTTAATCTCCATCATCAAGGTAAACTATATTTGTAATCAAAAAAAGTTTTTGTCTGGTTAACAGATTGTCTTTTAATGTTTCTGTCTGGTTACCAAATAAGAAAAATAATCCAGCTAAGAGATTATTTTAAAATTAATTTTAATTTGGTGGCTTTAAAAAATTATAAGTGAATGTGTATTACGTTAATCACCTCTGTTCAAAGACAAAGGACAAAGTGAGATAAAGTCTAATTAGGCTAATTCAGTGAATTATCATCTGATCAAATCATGACTATAAGAAATTATCCCTGGCTAAATGTGACATCAAATCATTCTATGAAATAATTAGGAATATGTCCTAATTATTATTGCTAATAATTAGGAATAATTAGCAATGTCTAACGTTGCTGTAGAAATGAAACAAAAGGCTAGCTGTTTCCAAGAAGAGTTTCCAAATAATGAAAGAACAGCAGCTAAGATTACACCCTGTGCTTTACTTTCATAACTAGGGCAAAAAAAAAGAAGATTCTCAACTTATTTATTACCTCATGGGAAATTCAAAATTAAAAGCGACACTGTGGTATCTCACGTGGGAATAGATTAATAGAAGAATTCTATGAAATTCTAAAGAAATATAACAGGAAGTCGTATATGAATTTACATTTTAACTTAAAGAATTTTAAGGTTCCATTAAAATTATATGAGGCTACTGTTTCGTGCCAGGGGATGGGGAGAAGAAGACACAGGCAGTAAATTCCGTTTACTCACTTCTCAGTATAATCCTGTGGGTTTATCCAGAACATTAGGTCCTGGCTCTGAACTTCTGTTGGTAGTCTCATGTTGATGAATCATCTCTTGGGAACACATCTGTCAGGATTTAAAAGAAGATACTCGTGTTTTTTAAGGTTCTTTGACTTTCTTCTTGTTTTACTGGTTTTCTTTTAAAGGTCAACTTCATTTATACCTTTAGAATTCTGTTAGGCTGGACTCCATTTTGTCATACCAGTATCACTGATGTTTTTATTTGGAGGGTTGAGTCAGCAGCATTATTATCAAAGACTACTTCTGTTCCCCCCCCTTGTCCCTTTACCTATTTTTTTAAAGTAAGGGTAAGTCATCTAGATCTTAAATTTTTATCTCTCTTTTGATGAAATTTATACTTTCTCTTTTGTTATTCAAAATAAACTTATTTTTCATTGTATGTTTAATTCTAAATTTTTCTGACATAGTATGACAGCTTAAGCTGAAATTCGGCTCTTTATTTTTAGAGAATATTTTAGGATATTTAATAAGAGCTAACTAAACAGAGCTAACTAAACATGAATTCATGGTATACTATCAGAAATCTGCTGGTAACATTTACTTTTCGGTTTTTCTTTTATTCCTCCACACATTAATTTATTGTGCTGAGATCTGTTGTTTTGCAGTGATACTGTGTGAAACACTACACACTAAAGGAATTCAAGTAGAACAACTGTGATGCAAATCTGACATAAACAAGACAGATAGCTTACTTTCTAATGGAGAATAGCATAAGCATATTTGTAAAAGGTAGGATATATTGCGTACCAGATGACTGATACTAGTTTGGTAGTGGTCATGTAAGAAGTTGAATGCCAGGGTCAGGAGGAGTCCAAATATTAATTAGTGGATCTTAACTGATTTTGATCAAGAGATGATGGCACATCTTACACCTCAAAGAGGGATAAAGAAAGTGATGATATCAGAGATTTGGTTTATGAAAATTTCTGTGACATTCCTGTAGAAAATAGGTAGGGACTTTATAAGAAATGAGTAAGGGGATTCCCAGGTAGTTTTCCAGAGAACTAATAGCATGAAGTTTTATTCGATACAAGGGACCAATTTTTACTGATTACCAGCCATAGAGTAGAAACAGAAAATATGAAGTAAAAATGACCCAGAGTTGTAAAGGAGCTTGTTAGGCATGGAAGAAAACGAGGACTAATCTTGGAAAACTGAAAAAGCACATTATGGAAAGGGAAAAATAATTACGTGGGTTCAAAGAACTCAATTATCTTAATGAGGTGGCTTTTGAAAGGAGGAAGGATTGACTGATAGATGTGGATGTGACACTATGTGCTTAGTATACTGTGATGCTTAATTTTATGTGTCAACTTGACTAGGTTATAGTGTCCAGGCATTTGATCAAATACCAGTCTAGATGTTGCTGTGGAGACATTTTCATTTTTTAGATGTGATTAATTATTAAATCAATAGACTTTGAGTGAAGCCAGTTACCCACCGTAAACTGGGTATACACAACATACTTAGTTGAAGGCATTAAGACAAATCAGTAAGGACCCAAGGGAGAAGAAATTCTGTGTACACACTGCCTTTGGACATAAGCTACAATATTTACTCTTTGCAAGTCTCTAGTCTGTTAGACTACCCCGAGGATTTCAAACTTTCAGACCCCACAATTTTATGAGCCAAATCTCTTATTCTCTCTCATTTTCTCTGTGTGTATATACCTACACACACACACAACCCTCCTATGTTGCTCTGAAGAACCATGCTAACACACAGTTAAACACATAATTCCTAGCTCTAATCACTGAAAGAGCATAGATGAAAAGGCACACTGTAGCCATAAGTACAGCCAGTATTCATATCTTTGTTTCTCATTACCATTCTCCAATAAATGATACTAGGCTCCTTGGGAAAATATCTGATTCTGGGATTGAGGCATGGAAAGTGTGAGATGAATCTGGAAACTCTTACAGTGCCAGAAAATTAAAATGTGATCTAAAAAAAATATTGAGGCATATTGAAAAGACACAGGAACTAAGTCGAAAGAATTTCCCATAGTCAGATTTGGGAAACTTTGAGCAACAAATTAAGTAGGATCCATGGCATAAAATAAATACCCATTAGTTTATATTGATAAAAATATAAATTTGAATAAAAAATAAGATACAGCTCTATTCAGTAGAATTCCAATGAATAAATGCAGAAGGAATAATGGAAATACAAGGTCACAATTGGCATAGCAATAATTGTAGTAGGCAAGGATCATCAATAGTAGCTAAAACTGAACTGGGTGCAGTGGTGTGCCTGCAGTTTCAGCAAAATACAGGATCACTTGAGCCCAGGAGTTTGAGGTCAGCCAGGGCAATGAGACTCTGTCTGTTAGAAAAATTAGTTACCTACACATCTACAACCATCTGATCTTGGACAAACCTAACTAAAACAAGCAATGGGGAAAGGATTCCCTGTTTAACAAATGGTGTTGGGATAACTGGATAGCAGTGTGCAGAAAGCAGAAACTGGACCCCTTCCTGACACCTTACACTCACTCAAATTAACTCCAGATGGATTAAAGCCTTAAACATAAGACCTAACATCATCAAAACCCTAGAAGAAAACCTAAGCAAAACCATTCAGGCCATAGGCATAGGCAAGGACTTCATGACTAAAATTCCAAAAGCATTGGCAACAGAAGCCAAAATAGACAGATGGGATCTAATTAAACTCAAGAGCTTCTGTACAGCAAAAGAAACAATCATTAGAGTGAACCAGCAACCAACAGAATGGGAAAAAATTTTTGCAATCTGCCCATCTGACAAAGGGCTAATATCCAGAATCTACAAAGAACTAAAACAGATTTACAAGAAACAAACCCATCCAAAAGTGGTCAAAGGATGTGAACAGACACTTTTCAAAAGAAGACATATATGAAGCCAATAAACATGAAAAAATGCTCATCGTCACTGGTCATTAGAGAAATGCAAATCAAAACCACATTGAGATACCACCTCACGCCAGTAAGAATGGCGATCATTAAAAAATCTGGAGACAACAGATGCTGGAGAGGATGTGGAGAAATAGGAACACTTTTACACCGTTGGTGGGAGTGTAAACTAGTTCAACCATTGTGGAAGACAGTGTGGCAATTCCTCAAGGACCTAGAAATAGAAATTCCATTGGACCCAGCAATCCCATTACTGGGTATATACCCAAAGGATTATAAATCATTCTATTTTAAAGAGACATGCACACGTATGTTCATTGTGGCACTGTTTACAGTAGCAAAAACCTGGAACCAACCCAAATGTCCACTGATGACAGACAGGACAAGGAAAATGTGGCACATACACACCATGGAATACTATGCAGCCATAAAAAAAAAAAAAAAAAAACAATGAATTTGTGTCCTTTGTAGGGACATAAATGAATCTGGAAACCATCGTTCTCAGCAAACTGACACAAGAACAGAAAATCCAACACTGCATGTTCTCACTCAGGAGGGTGTTGAACAATGAGAACACATGGATACAGGGAAGGGAGCATCACACACTGAGATCCATTGGAGGGGACTAAGGGACAGACACTGTGTCATAGGGAGTCGGGGAGGTATAACATGGGGAGAAATGCCAGATACAGGTGATGAGGATGGAGGCAGCAAACCACATCACCATCTCTGTACCTACCCAACAATCCTGCAAGTTCTTCACATGTACCCCAGAACATAAAGGGCAATTAAATATACATTAAATATTCTACAGGGCTTGACAAATGCATAACAACATATATTAACCATTCAAGTTAATGACCTAAAAATACCATGTACTTCACCTATTGATCCCTCTCCTCCCTCTTTGCTGACTGCCACTGATCTAAAAAGATCTGTAAAACTGATCCATTAAAAATTCTAAAACTCTAAAACTGATCCATTAAATATTGTAAATGAAAACTATTTCTGTAGTTTTGCCTTTTCAAAAATTGTATATAGTTAAAATCATATAGCACACAGCCTTTTCAGACTGGTTTCTTTCACATTGCAATACACATCTAAATTATTTTAATGTCTTTTCATGGTTTATAGGTCATGTATTTTGTGTTGCTTTTATTATTTTTAGTGGAAATATAATTTTACGTATTTATGGACCTAGTATAACATTTAGATACATGTATACAATGTACAATGATCAAACCAGTATAATTAGCATATCCAGCAACTCATTTATCCTTTTTAATGTAAACATTCAAAATATGCTTCTAGTGAAATAAACAATAAATTATTAATTATAGTCACCCAATAGTGCTATTGAACACTAGCATGTTTCTTTTTATTGCTCAATATTTCACTCCATAAATGCATTACAGTTTGTTTCTTCATCTTCTATTATAGAACATCTTCGTTGCTTTAAGTTTTTGGTGGTTATGACTAAGACTGCTGTAAACATTCATCTGCAGGTTTTTGTGTGCATATAAATTTTCAAAACTGCATAAATTCCTAGGAATATGGCAGCTGGATCACATGGTAAAACTACTTTTAACTTTAAAAGTAAAAACTGTCTTCCAAAGTAGATGAGCTATTTGCATTGCTGCCAGCCATGATTGAGTGTTTATGTTGCTCAGCATTCTCACTGGCATTTGGTTTCATGTTTGTTTGTTTTAATTTTAGCAACTTTAATAGATGTATAATGGTATTTCATTGCTGTTTTGTTTATAATTTCTTAAAGATACTTGATATAAAGTATCTTTTCCTATGCTTATAAGTCATCTGTGTAATTTTCTTCACTGAGCTGTATTCAGATCTTTTGCCCATTTTTAAGTGTGTTGTATGTTTATTGTTGAGTTTTTGAGTTAATTTTTGCAAAAGACCTAAAATGTCTATCAGGTTGTTTTTTATTTTGTTTACTTTTGTTTTACCTACTGATGTCTAGTTGTTCCAGCTCCATTTATTTAAAAAACTATCCATTCTCTTTTGGAATTTCTATTACTTCTTTGTCAAAGATCAGTTGCCTATTTGGTGGGTCTTTTCTGGGCTTTCTATTCCACTGATCTATTTGTCTATTCTTTCACTATACCACATTATTGTGAATATTGTAGCTTTATGGTGA